GAAGAGAAAAAGGAGAGTGGAAAGAGAGGAGGAAGAGAGAGAGAGGGGGAAGGAAAAAAGAAAGAGAAGACAATCGCTTTTCTGCAGAGGAGCAGAAGGTCCACTGAGAAACAGTTTCACCTCTTGGCAGAAAGTGTTGGACCAGAAGCAAAAAATGAGGCATACATTTTAGGACACAGCTGATGTGTAGATTTGATTGTCTTAATCATACTTGTTACAAGGGATTTGGTTTTTTTGCGGGGGGGAGGAAGGAAGGGAGAATGGGGAAGGGAAGAAGGGGCTGGTGATGGGGAAGAGGTGAGAAAAAAGCATCAATGAGGCATTTTTTTTTAAATGCACAGAACAGAGAAAAACTCAGAAGGAGTCAGACACAAGCAGGACAGCTTTTGAACGGAGGTGCTGAAATTATCATATCCTTTAAAAATAAATTCAAAAGTCCAGTCAGCCAGTGACAAAGCATTAAATGAAATGAAGATGACAAAAAAAAAACGTGAATGGGGAACATGAGGGGAAAATGTAAAAGTGAGAAAAGAACAAAGAATTAAACTTCCGTTTGCAGACAAAACGCATGGACTCAATCCTGAAGTCAGACACCAAAAAACTCAGCATCTTCACCATTATCACAGTTGGAGGACAGCATTGTGTCCTCTGGGGCTGAGGGGAAGGGCAGGGAGGAGAACAGGTCTTTCTTTCCCTCGACCTTGGGTGTCCTAGACAAAGACACAAGACACTAGCCAGGTTGGGGGAAGGGAGAGAGAAAAGGTGGGGAGAACTCTGGATGTGGAATGCTGGACATACTCTCAGACAAGGGTGGTGCATTGGTTAGTTCTGCTAAATTTCTGTTCCCCCACCTTTTTAAAATCTCTATTACAAGGGATGGCTTGCTGGGTAGGGGAAAGGGGAGGGACAGAATCAGAAATGAACGTGATGTGTAAAACAAAAAAAACAAAAAAGAAAATCATTAAATATTTTAAAAAAGAAACACCACCAGCCCATCTGAGGGACCTGCTCTCCTCTGGCTCTCGGCTTGCAGACAACGGGGCAGCCACTAGGCACAGTCCTGCCAACCCAGGACCCCACTTGCCCGTGGCCCCAGCCCATCGCCCCTACCCTCCCTCACCGCTTGTCCGCCTTCACGTGGTGCTGCCTGACATCCTTCAGGTAGCGGCTCAGGTAATATTCTAAGGTGTTGAGGAAGGTACTGTCTTTGTCCACGAGCTGGGCGGCGCGGGGCTGGTTGGTGAGCCAGTCCATCACGGAATCGATCTGCTCCTGCTGGATCTGCTGCGAAGAGCGCAGTTGCCAGAGACCCGGCGCACTCATTTGGGCTCCTCCCCTCCTCGGTTCCCACCCAAGCCAGGCACTGCAAAGGCCCCCAGGTCCCTTACCATCTGTTCTGTGAAGACCTGGAGATCGGCAGGGGTGCCCTGCAGAGAGAGGAGGAGGAGGAACACAGAGTGCCGAGGCTGGAGGGGACAAGGGCCAGGGCCAGGGCTGGGGCCGGGGCAGGAAAGGGGCCAGGGCTCTCTTACCTTCTTAGTCAGGTTGTAGATAACTCGGGTCAGGGCCTCTGCAATGATTCTGGTGTTGCGGGTGAGTGTTTTGGAATCTACCCGTGACCTTCAAAGGAGGAGAGGGAGGAAAAGCTCAGGGGCCAGAAACGAGAACATCTCTTTTCACATTCTCCCCTCCAGAGGTCACTGCACCCCTGGCCGTCCTCTCCAGGGCCGTGGCTCCTCCTCTCACACCCCATCCCACAATGGTGGGACGGGGAGAGGATCGTGGGGTCAGATTTAGAGCTGGGAGGGACCCCGGACACAACCTGACATTCACACAGCACCTGCTATGTGCCAGGCCTTGGGCTTTACAAACATTCCCTCTCTGAGCTTCACAACCACCCTGGGAGGGAGGGGCTGCACATGGTCCCCATTTAACAGATGAGGAAACAGACAGAGGTGAAGTGTCCTGCCCAGGGTCACAGTCACTGGCAGAGGCCACTGTAGCCATCACCAACATCTTCAACCCACCTCAGCCCCTATGTTGGTAAATGTTTAACAGGATCTCCCCCCAAAAAATAGCCTATGCTGCATTATTAACATCTTCTCCATCTCCTTAAATTTTTTTTTATTTTTTAGGCAACTGGGGCTAAGTGACTTGCCCAGGGTCACATAGCTAGTAAGTGTCAAGTGTTTGGTCTGAGACTGGATTTGAACTCAGGTCTTCCTGACTTCAGGGCCGGTGCTCTTATCCACTGCGCCACCTAGCTGCCCCCATCTCCTTAAATCTAAGAGTAGCAACAAAACAATAAACCGAGTTCCGGCTGTAATGTTTGCTGATCTCCAAGATGTAAATGCTCACACCAGAAATTGAACAATCAGCCCTCATGAGCCAGTATGAGCTGGCACCAGCACAATCCTTGATCTCCCCATAACCCATAGCTGCGCCACCTTCGTGAATCTGAAATCTGAAATTCCTTTTACTGATGGTATCTCCTGTCTTCTCTCTCCTTCCACTCCACTCCTCCAAAAACTGTTTCTGGTCCTTTTCTCACTGAAACTTTCAGCGGCCTCATCCCTCCCAGTTTTCCTAGCTCACAAAGCCCTGCCCTGACCTCGTCATCCCTTCACAGATTTGAATCTACAACCACGGTCGTCCTCTGTCTGCGATTCCCTTGTCCTCTGGTCCGTTATCATTCAACCATACTAATTATCACCCTTGAATATCATTTCTACCATCTGTGATTGAGTTCAGGAAAAATTAGCATCAGGTATCCTGGCTATGTGACCATAGGCTAAGTCACTCTGACTTCTCAGTGCTCCTAGGAAAACACTTTTAAAATATGTACTCCTTATCTGGGATTAATTTTTTTTGACAAGTCATTATTTCTGTATAATTGGTTTCCTTTGTAATACTTTGTATTTTATTTTATACAATAAAACAAGATTCAGAGAAGGGGTCCATGGGCTGCACCAAACTCACTGACATAAGGGTCTAGGACATTAAAAAAAAAGTGAGGAACCCTTGCTCTGAAGCAATATATTACAGAGTAGTGAGGAAATGCCACTAAGAAGCCCCTCCCCCACCAGAAAAAATTATTCTCAACTAGGTCTTCACTGCATCACAATCCTCCATTTCTTTTTATTGTTGTTCAATTTATCTAGGTCTGACAGGGACAAACTGAGGTCCCACATTATCACATTTGTCCCTATATCTCATTTAACTTTTGCTTTAAGTATTCAGATTCTACTTTATTTGGTACATATATGCTTGATACTGGCATTAATTCATTGACTATGGTAACTTTCAGCAAAATGTACCTTCCCTGTTTATCTTTTGTCTGTTTTGCTGTTGTTTTGTCTGAGATCATGACTGCCACCCCTGTTTGGTTTTTTTTTTAATTCACCTGAAACCTAACAAATTCTGCTGTGTAAGATACATTACCTTCTGCTTCAGTCCCATATTTTAACAATGTGCATCTTTCTTTCACCTGTACCTCTTGCAAACATATTGTTGGATTCTGGTTTCTAATCATTCCCCCGCCCTCTTCTGTTTTATGGGTGAGTTTATCCCACCCACATTCACAGTATATTGCTAATGGTCTAATTCCCTCTATCTTATTCTCTTACGCTTTTCTTTAAGAGTTTGTTTTGCTTAAGACTAATCTTTCCCTTACTCTACTCTAGATTTTATCTCCCCCACCCTTTTCCCTTCTCCCCTTTCCTATTTCCCTATTGAGTGAAATGCATCTCTGCATCCAATCCTGTGTGTATTCCCCGCTTTTGACCATATCAGATGAGAGTGAAGTTCAAGTGTTACTCACTCCCCTCATAACTCCCTCCTTGTTTGCACAGACAGACTTCTCCTTCTGCAGCCCCACCACGTAAGATCATTTTCCCCATCCTTCCACTCTCTTCCTCTTCCCCTCCCTTTCCATTCTTCTTTTAAGATCATCAAAACATAACAAGACCACTTTCCAGGTCCTCTATCTAATTATACTCCCTCTATGACTTCTGATGATGACAGAATTCTGAGTGGATACAAGGATCATTTCCCTAAATTAGAATATAAACAAGTTATCTTTGTTTAGTCTCTGTGATTCATCTTAAACCTTTTTAGGCCTCTTGTGTTTGTATTTCAAAATTTCTACTCGGTTCTGGGTTTGTTTTTCTTTTAAATAAAGAATACTTGGAAGTCCTCTATTTTATCAAGGGTCTATTTTTCTTCCTGTAGGATTATACTCAGTTTTGCTGGATAAATTACTCCTGGTTTTAAGTCTATTATCTTTTGCTTTCTAGAAAATTCCATTCCAAGCTCTCTACTGCTTCATAGTGATGGCTACTAAATCATGTGTGATCCTGACTGTGGCTCCTCAGTACTTGATTTTTTTCTTCCTGGCTGCTTGCAGTATTTATTTCTGTGTCCTGGAAGCTCTGGATTTTGGCTATACCATTCCTGGGAATCTTCATCCTGGAGTTTCTTTCAGGAGATGACCAGCAGATTCTATTTTCACTTCGCCTACTGGTTTTAAGAAATAGGACCAATTTTCTTCATAATTTCTTTTTTTTTTCTTTAAAAAAGATTTTTTTAACATTTTTTTTAAAATTCTGAGTACCAAATTCTCTCCCTCCCTTCTACCCCTAACTCACAGCTGAGAAAGCAAGCAATTGTGATGTCAATTATATGTGTGAAATTATGCAAAACATTTCCACATTAACCACACTGCCAAAAAAAAAAAAAGCAAGAAAAATAAAGTGAAAAAAGTTATACTTCAATTTGCACTCAGGGTTCATCGGTTCTCTCTCTGGAAGTGGATAGTATTTTTTCACCATGGGTCCTCTGGAATTGTCTTGAAATACTGAATTGATCAAAGTAGCCAAGTCTTTCACAGCTGATCATCATTACAATATTGCTGACTAAGCCCAATGATCTCTCGGTTCATCTCACTTCACTTTGCATCAGTTCATAGAAATCTTGCTGTGTTTTTCTGAAACCACTCCCCATGTTATTTCTTATAGCACTATAGTACTCCATCACAATCATATGCCACAAGTTGTTCAGCCACTCCCCAATTGATGAGCACCCCTTCGATTTCCAATTCTTTGCCACCACAAAAACAGCTATATATATACAGATATATATACATATATATATATATATATATATATATATATATACACATATAGGGGTACAGGTCTAGTAGTGGCATTGCTCAAAGGATATGCACAATTTCATAGCACTTTGGGCATACTTCCAAATTGTCCTCCAGAAAGACTGGATCAGTTTACAACTGTAACAACCATGTTTTAGTGTACCTATTTTCCTCCATCCCTTCCAGCAGTTGTCTTTATTGACAGGTGTAAGGTGGTACCTCAGAGTTAATTTGCAATTTTCTTATCAACAGTGATCTAGAGCTTTTCATATGGCTATGGATAGCTTTGATTTCTTCTTCTGAAAACTACCGGTTCAAATCCTTTGACCATTTATCAACTGGAGAATCATATTTTTTAAAAATTGATTCCCCTCTATAGTCAGTATATATTTGAAAAATAAGGTTTTTATCAGAGAAAAACTGCTGTAAAATTTTTTGATGTTACTTCACTGTCTATGGCACCTTTTAGCAAAACTTAGTTGCCCTCTTTTTTTTTTTTTTTTATTGAGGCAATCAGGGTTAAATGACTTGCCCAGGGTCACACAGCTATTAAGTATCTCAGGCCAAATTTGAACTCTGATCCTCCTGACTCAAGGCCGGTGCTCAAACCCCTGTGACAGCTAGCTGCCCTCCCTCTTTTTGGGGTAGGACAATTAGGGTTAAGTGACTACTATCTCTTTTAATTAGGTCTAGTTTTGCTTTTGCTTTGCCAAAGATCCTAATTGCTATCACTAACTTTTTTAACTCAACTGAAGCATATTAGATTCTGCTCTGGCCCTTCACTTTAACTCTTTCTGTTTCAAGTGTTTTTTTTTTTTTTTTTCCCCCAGGGTTCAGTGATTTGCCCAGGGTCACACAGCTAGTGAGTATTATGTGTCTGAGGTCTGATCAGAACTCAGGTCCTCCTGACTCCAGGGCCAGTGCTCTATCCACTGCACCATCTAGCTGTCCCTTGTTTCAAGTGTTTCTTATAAACAACATTATCTTTTATAATTTCTTAAAATACAATGTCTCTACTCTTTTTTTTGGCCATGACTTTAAAGAACTACAAGGAGTCTTAAATTATCTCTCCTGTTTTCCAGTCAGTTGTTCTTGCTATGAGATACCTTACATTTTCTTCTAGTTGTTCAGTCATTTGAGTTTGTTATTTCCTGTCTCATGGAGTCACTGGCTTCTATTTGGTCCATTCTAATTTTCAGGGAGTTTTTTTCTAGGGTAAGGTTTTGTATCTTGTTCCAAGTTACTGATTCTCTTTTCAAATCTTTCTTCCTTAGCTCTTGTTTTTTCCCCCTATTTTTCCCTCTAGTGCTCTCACTTGGTTTCTAAAATTACCTTTAGCCCTTTTTTTAAACTCTTGCTTCATCTGTTCCAGAAATCATGGTTGGACTTGTGTCCAGGCTGTTTCCTCTGAGGCTTTGTTTATAGACGCTTTATTCCTCAGGATTTGTGTCTTGAGCTTCCCTGTCACCTA